TGCATGTTTCTATTTTTTGTTTAAAGTATTGTGCCTATGCAGTTCATTTCATTTGGAAATGTAGGGTGAAATTTTAGTTTTCAAAAGCAGTTATTATGAACTACATAGAATAATCAGGAAACATAGGTTAGTGGTTCGTCATTAATAGCAACCAAATTTGCAGATATGTTAGGTATGTTTTCTAGATCATTTTATCTACAATAGATATATTCATAAACATAGAGTTATATTTTAGATAGATAAATGGTCTTCAAACACTTCAAAGATCTATGGCATATGACATTTAAAATATTTTGTTAACTTAGGACTTTTCATGACAGTGAGACACATCTGCTCATGGCAACACCAATTTACTTTAGAGATGATGGGCATCAAAGAAACTCCGTATGGAGTTTGCTTTCAATGTGGCAAGGCTAGCTAGTCATTTGGGCAAGAAGCTGCATTTGCCTGGCCTGCTTGACAGAATGTTGTATAAACTGGACTAGCAGGACCCACAGGAAAGTGACCATTGAATTTTGCCAAAACAAGGTGGGACGGTCTTCAGGGTTTCTGTTTTGCAGAAAAAACAGACAGACATTCTGCAGGGAATGGAGGAAAGTGGTTGACAAACTGCCAATATAGGTGGGACCGTTTTTCAAATTTCCTGCTTCACTGAAAAGTCTGCCAGATATTATGGGCCTGTAGACTAAAGATGGATGCCTCAGCATTGCAAAGGAACTTTGGGCGACTGTCATTTCTAGAGCTTTTGGAAGTAGTTTGCAATGCACACTGGGGCCTTTGAAGGAGTTGAAGGCTAGATAATCATTAGAGTTGCAGTTTTCCTTAGATGTGATAGAAAGTGAGTTAGGTAAAAATTTTGGATTTACTAAAATAAGATAGATTATGGATTATTTTCTTTAAATTTACCAGACACAAATGAATTGGAATTCAGTATATTGTGAATGTAATCTTTACTTGGTAATTGTTCTTATTTGTTTCAAAAGAAAAAAAGGGGAAATGTTGGGGAATATTATTTTAAGGTGTGCAACTTTTGTTTATGTTGCATTTGTTAAACTCTGTGAAGCTGTGATTCTTTGCCTGTCTAAAACACCTGATGGGCTAATAATGAGCTGAATGGCCAGTAGTGAGGCAGGAGAGAGGATAGGTGGGGCTGGCAGGCAGAGAGAATAAACAGAAAGAGAAACAAGGAAGAGAGGAGCAGAAAGAGAACAAGGAAAGGAGAACTTCAGGGGCCAGGCACCCACCCACCCAGTCAGTCAGCCAGCTAGCCAGCCAGCCAACCAGCCAAGGAGTAAGAAGCAAAGTAAGATATACAGAAGTAAGAAAGATAAAAGTCTAGAGAAAAAAGGTGGATGGGTTAATTTAAGAAAAGCTGGCCAGAAACAAGCCAAGTTAAGGTCAGACATTCATAACTAAAAGTAAGCCTCTGAGTGTGATTTATTTGGAAGCTGGGTGGTGGGGCCCTTAAAAGAACCAAAAGATGGGACCAAAAACAACTAACAACATGCTGGCCTTTATCTTATCATCAGAAATCCTCCCATAGTCCAGTTTGAGTTGATTCCTAGACATATGGACTACCTGAGACAGCAGTCACCTCTCTGATTGGAAAGCTATCTTGAGGTTTCAGCTTTTACATCATCACCCCTACCTTCCTGCTGCCACAAAGGATCTGGGTGATGGAGCTGTGTTCTGTGATCCAGAATGAGGTGGGAGCTGGGCTTTCCATGGCCCTGGACAAAGGGGTGCAGTGCAGGGAACAGAAGAGGCAGCCCTTGTCCCGTCTCTGGGATTCTCAGTCTTCAGTCTTTTCCAGGTCTAGAAGGTCTTCTTTGCTTTTGTTCTGCTTCATTTGTTCATCCTCTGTGGCTGCCCTTCTCCAGCCATCTCTGTGTTCCTCTCTTGGCTGTTCCAGCTTAAACTCCCAGGTTCCTGTTTCCCTCATTACAAACTAACAAATAAAACAAGAAAGTTTTCCATGAGGTTTCCACCTTTCTGCAGTCAGTGTTGCTCTCACTTTTTGTGTCCAGCATTGCTCAACTTCCTTCTTCCTGTCAGTCCCACCCTGATCTTAATCATTGTTTCCATTTTTGGGGGGAGAGAGGGTTTCATGGCTACTTTGTAAAGTAATCCAGTGAAGTATTTCAAAAAAACTACACATCGATGTTCTGTGGGGTATCCATAGGGAGCTAGTTAAACAATATTTCTGCTATTCAGTGGATTTTATGAAGATGCCAAAACAAAGATGTTCTTCATGCAATGATTAGAAAAGTTATGAGCCACATATTCTTCAGTGAGAAACCAGAGTGTACTGAGTATCAGTGGCCATGTATTCACAGTTGCTGTGAATGGCATCGTAGGGAAGTGATAAATAATTGTCCTGAAAGTATGGCAATGAAGGGAAAGGAAGACCTGGCACTGTACACCTTTAAATATTCTATTCATTTCTGCGTACATATACTAATTACTATGCAAAATAAAATAATCGAATCTTCCTTATTTGTCATTAAGGATATACTAAATCACACTTCTATCCTTAATATATGCTGCAGGCCCAAGATCTTCATCACACAATTTGTCCAAATAAGAAGAGATTTGGTTAAATCGTCTTGAAGTCAAAGTATGACATTTGGAGCTGTTTGGATGCATAGCTGCAATGCCAACACTCAGCAGGCAGATGGAAGAGGCCTGAAGCTGTGCTGGGTTACATAGTGATTTCTAGGCTGGCTTGAACTGTGCAGTAATAGCCTGGCTTAAAACAAAGGAGCTATGAAAGAGGATGATGGGGAAGTTACAAGAGGATGTAAAATTACTTGTCTTTCTAATTGTAAAGTTCTAATTCTGTCATTTTTTTTTTTTGGCTTGAGTGGTGGACAAGTGCTTAAAATACATTTATTATTGAAAGTGTAAATTTAATGTAAAGCCCCACAGCTTTCACTTCAAATACCAATTCTAAATATACATAAATTTGTTAAATGGTATAGATCTAGGGTCTTGTTAATCATGGTGATGTTCTTATTTACACGAAAGTTTTTATATAAAATTTACTTAAAAAAATCAAGGAAGTTGTAGTTTATTGGCAAATGGTAACCTAGAATGTACAAAACCCTGGATTTCATCTTTAATATGGCATAAAACCACAAGTATGGAGATGTTTTTAGATCTTAAAATAGAAGCTGAGAGCTCAGCAATGTTAAGAGAATAAGGTGTATGTTGATATGACCATATCTCTTCCTCAAGTCTTTAACTGAAAAGTGTGATATGTCCATGAAAGGTGCTTCCAATTCTTTATCAGATGATGAATGGCAATCAAATACAAATCAAAGTCACTATGGAAAGTCATTCACATAAACCAAGTAGACAGATAACAGCATATGTTGGCAAGGATATGAAATTGTTAAGAGTTCATATATATATCACAGAAGGAAAGATGCAATTTCCAGGAGCTTTTGGAAAATAGAAGATGCTCCTAGAACTGCAAGAGCTAGCAATCACTCTCCTAGGTGTATACTTGAGAAGTGAATGTTTGTAATAGTTATAGTATTTGACAGATGGGAAAGCTTAAGTATTACCCAGTTGATGCAGAAATAAACAATTTTTTCATAGAATGAAATACAGGTTGTGATAACAAGCTTTACACCATTGCAACAAATACCTGAGATAAATAACTTATGAAAAGGGTTTTGGAGATTTCAATCCATAATCAATTGGCCTCATTGCTATTGGTCCTGTGGAGAGGGCACACACTGTGTTAGAAGCACACAATGGAGGAAAACCACTCCTGGCTTGGGAGCGAAAGGGAAGATGAAAGGGCTGAAGGTTGTCCATGCCCTATAGAGGGCACACTCTCAGGGTCATAAATACATTCCAGGAGTCTTAAAGTTTCCAGATCCTCTTAAAGGTTCTCTCACCTTCAAATATCACACTCTCAGGGAACAAGTCTTTGATACAGACATATGGGGGGTATTCCAGATCCAGGCTAGAACACTGTTGCCTGCTGAAATACGTGGGTGAGTATTAAAAACCTTATTATAAGCAGAGGAAGTCAGTAAGAAAGAAAATTATACACTGTATGATTGTCTTCATATGAAACCCAGAATAAGGAACTTTATAGAGACAGGAAGTAGAGAAGTGGTTCCAAAGGGCTGAGAGTAACACGAAGATGATGTAACTATAGCTAGTGTGTACAGGATTTCTTTGAGGTGGTGGCTGCAAACTACTGTGAACGTACCAGGCCCATTGAACTGTACATCTCAAATGGGTGAATGTTCTGACATGCTACTTCTGCCCCAATAAAGCTGTGAAGACAATATACAAGCTGTGTCAGACATTAAAGAAGTGTGTAAGGAAAGTGTATCAGAAGCAAAGTCAAAACTCCAACCCAAATGACTTACTAAATCCATTTGAAAACCTGCATCACTGTTTCCTAGTAAGGGCTACATCTATCTACCCTTCATGAGCCCTTCCCCAGTAATTAAAGCAACATTCACAGAGTCCCTGAATATCCTCTTTCTCACTCCAGTCCCTGCCCAAGCTTCATTAAGCTACATAGGAGTAACCCCCCGTCTTGCGGGAAATTCAGGCTTCAACCACAGAAATCACGAGATGTCCTCATTTCCTGGCCTCAATAGTCTGCAACTGTTTTATCATAAGACAGGAAGTGTGGCAATGGAAGTTCTCTTTTCTCAAAGTGGATCAAGATTTCCTTTCTGTTGTCTGGGTTCTGGGGCTTACCTCCAGTTAGAATCCAGTTACTTATTCTCTCTACCATAGACTCAGCCCCTCCCCGTTCTGCATACTGAGATGACTGGAATCCAGTCCCCTAGCACAGCAAGTGTGGTCTTGGAAAGTGCCCGGAGTAGAGCAGGAATTCTCCTGTTGTGTGAAGGTGCGTGTGGAAGGGAATAATTTATTGACCCTGAGGATTTACCGGGAAGCTCGACTAGCAGCCTATGGGAGATGGGTACAGTCTTGGATGTTCTGTATTTTCTGGGCTAGTTTCAGTTGCAAGCAATCTCTTTTGCTGTCTTTGTAGACATATATTTGCTCTTGTTGTAGAGACCCATGATCAGCTGGGAGTCCTCTCACAGATCCAGCGGTAGCTGATGTCACATGATGCAGCATCAAATGTCTTTGTCAGGCCTATAGTGACGCAGTGGAAGTTCTGATTCTCATTTGTAACACTAAATGAGTAGAGAAAGCATGGTTAAGCCTCCTGGTTTCAGTTTTGTCTTTGATTGCTAGTGAGGTGAGGGTCACATGGGAGGTGTGCATGGAGGAGATGCAGCCTCATGTAACGATACACCCTTCTTTTCTGCACTGGGTCTTTCTTCTCCATACATCTTCTCCAGTCCAGTCCCGTACCCACTGCTTCCTCTCAACTCTCCTGTGAGCATTCACGGATTCCAAGAATCTAGGTCTAACTTGTTCACATAAGGTTGGAAGTATTTCCAAACTTTGAGGGCGGTGTCGCACCGTCCAAAACCATCTTTCAGTATTGATTGCATGTTTATAACAGGAAGGCCTAAGAAAGGAGGAAAGAGATTTTTCTTCCTTTACTGAATGGGAGCTAGCTCTAGGAAAACCTTGGTGGAGGCCAGCCGTTGGCCTTCTCCTACTTTCTTTCTGGCATTTGGATCCTTTTGGTCTGACTGTAGAGTCTCATTTCATGAAAAAGTGGCATGAGATTTGGGCTCAATGATCCATGAAATCAAACTGTGGCTCTATCCTGCTGCTATGTGAAATTCAACACATTTTATATTCATTTTAACACTCATACCCAATTCAACTACTTGGAAGTAATAGCATGGCATTACTCCATGGCATCCTGGTGAATACGGAGAAATGATCCATGCGTGTGCTTAGCGCAGCATAGTGCCTGATATTTAGAAGGCAGTGAGTACATATTAATTTTTTCCTCTCTGTAAGAAAATCCATTTGCAGGCAGGGGACCTGGCTTGCTCCTTGTCCAGCTCAGTATTTCCATATGAAAACTGGAAACAGTATAGCCTCCTCTAAAGGTGGACTCCAAATGATTCCCTGAAGATAGTTCTTGAGAGATACAGGCCAACCTTAAGGTATAGATAGGATATAGGTATATAGTAAACTTTCTCTAGATAAAGGAACTATATCGGGGGAAATGATATGATGTGCAGTTTAATGACCTATGAAATATATGAGGTGCAGCAGAGCTATGCATGTGGGTCAGTTTGAAGAAGATAATTTATTATAGGAATAATATTCTAATATTTTTTCTTCTACTTTTATATTATGCAAAATGTTTGATTATTTCCTATAATAAATAGGCTAAATAGGCAGGGAGTGGGTTGGAAACAGCTAGGAAAACAGAACAGAGTCTAGTCTCATCCTTTGAGCTGTCTCAGTGTGACTCTCAGGTTTAGTCTTCTTATGTAAAAATCCCTAGGGAAATAAACGCAGGGTGTTCACGTACTTGCCATTGAAGTCGGAGTTGTTGACCCAGCGCCACCTTTTTCCTCCCGGCTGACGTGTCAAACCAACAAAGTACTTCTCGGCATCAGCTATGTCCTGAAGATACTTCTAGAAGTTATAAAAAGAAGAAGCGTCTCATCAGTGAGTTCTTCAGTGCTGAGCTTGTGGCTGATGGCGGCTCTGGTTCTGGGAACCAGGAAGGCTCCTGGGGATTGGACCCTGCCTGGGGAAGTTCTGAAACTTGGTCGGACATAAGATCACCTGGATATCTGGACCAGACAGATTGCTTGGCCTGCGGTGCAGAAGAGCTAAGGATGAAGAATTTGCATCACTGATAAATGCCCTGTGATGTCAGTATTGCCCAGAAGGTGTGGGAAAGGAGGGCACCACAGTCAAAACCAGGCCGCTTCATGTACACATCTTATGTCTGGAATGCCTCTCTTTGTGGGATTTTCATCACTCCAGAAAATTTCACATCCCCAGTTAAGTTTAATCAAGTGGAAAAATGTGTTGCGGGTTATCAGCAAACCATCAGTGTGATCTTTGTCTGTGTCACTATGCAGTAGAAGCTGGGGAGTGGGCAGTGAACACTGGACGCACCAAAACTTAAATAGTGACTAGAGGAAACAGAGGGATCAATTCTTCTCGTTCTCTTCTCTCCAGCCCCTGTTTTCTTTCCCCAACCCTGCTCCTCTTTTCTTCCCGATTTTCTACCGGAAAACATATTGCTTTCCACTTGGGTGCTTTACCCTAGAGGCTTCGTGGGATCCTAATCTCTGACCTTGGTCATCTATCAAGGGTTGGCCCCCTAGAAAATTCTGCCCGATCACAGGATGATTTTTGAGAAGCTAGGATAGGGGAGGAAAACATGAATAGTGTTTAGTGCCCAACATCCAATCATTGCTAAGATTTGAAGAGAGGCAACTGTAAGTAAAATGAGTATGATGAATTTAATGTTCTATTGTTTAAGTATATGATGGTCAAATAACTTTTATTTTGGCTAAGGAGATGTATTCGTTGGTGGAACATTTGCTGTGTAAGTGTGGCAATTTGAGGTCAGATTCCCAGAACCCATGGGATAGCCTGATGTCGTTTGTTTTCCCAGCGCTCCCATGGCAAGATGAGAGGCAGGAAGGGGAGAATCCCTGGAAGGCTGGGGGAGGGGAGCAGCTAATCTAGTTATGCGGTTGTGAATAACAAGGCACCTTGTCTCAAGCAAGGTGGAAGGTGAGGTGGTTCTCTGACTTTCTGCTGTGGCACATTTGTGCCCACATACACACACACACACACACACACACACACACACACACACACACACACAATCTAACCATTACTTTTCTTTAATTTCCTCATTGCCTATGCATAAAATATGGCAGCCACAAGCTAATGGAAGGCAGTAAACAAAGCTGCGACAAAGCATTCTTCTACTCTCATTTTCACAAAGGTGAACTGTAAACTCTGGGATCCAGTTCTTTGTTTTAATTATAGTAATTTATCTTTTTTCTTATGCACACTGAGATGACACATTACTATCATGAGTAATGCATATCTTCCTCCTTTACTATATACATTTTACATGAACATCTCATAAAGTATTCTGTAATATTTCTTTTGTGTTTGTGTGCTTTTGTAGTTTATGAGTATGCATCTATGTATGTGTGTGAACATACATGTGGCATTTATGGAGGTCAGAGGATGGCCTGCGGGAGCTTCTGCAAACATGCAAGTCCCAGGGATTGAACTTAGGTCATCAAGCTTTATAGTGGGTGACTTTACCCACTGAGCCATCTCCCTGGTCCTGACATCACTTCTGCATGCACTAGGTCTTTGGTCAAGCCTTGCACTTTTAATGTCCTGGTTCATCTTTAATACATAAACCTGATACTGTAGTTTATGGGGAAGACGACAGGATCTGGATTTCTCAGTCTCAGGTTTAGAACAAGGACTATGAACTCCCCAGCCAGGCAGGCCTCTATTTCTCGCCAGCGTCCTATCCCCACTTCACGTTTTCCCATAGACTCCACCAACTGCAGCTGACGTCGGGCAGGCTATTTTATCACACCCTCCCAGTGTCGTTACCAGTTTCTCTAGTGTGTCGACAACTGCCAGTGTGGATCCTCTGGTTGCACAGTGATCCCTGCTGTTATTCCAAGATGATTCAGAGGTGGAGAAGAAGAAGCATCTCCCTTGGTGAAGATCCCAGTCTTTGGGGCAGGCTGGAGAGATTAGGGGAGTAAGGAGCAGAGGCAGAAGCAGAATGAATACATGCTAATTAGTGGTCTGGAGTGGGAACCCTGGGACTGACACACAAAATGATGGGGCATACGTTTCTTTGTAACTACTAGTATAAATGCTTCCCAATCCAGGAAGAAATTCCATCGCTCTAGTCTGTCTTCCAGCCCCTAACATAGAGGGAATGACCATGTTCCTTTGAACAAAAGTTCCACAAGAAAGGGACAATGGGAAAATTCCTTGAGAATCCAGTTTGTGCAACCCAGGCTGGCCTCAAACTTATGATCCTCCTGCCTTTGCCTCCTTCTGCAAATTCTACCGGTGTGAGCCATCACTGAGTTCCAGAACAGCCATGGATACACAGAAAAAAACCTGTCTCAAATAAACAAAACAAAACAAACAGACAAAACAGAACAAAACAAAAGAATCCAGCTTATGTGTATCGAGGGGATGGGAGAAACCAGGGACCATGCACTGTACCTGTTCCATAGCTCCTTGTGGGCATGACACTTTCGTTATTTCTCCCAAAGATCTGTGAGACTGAAATAAAAAGAAAGCCTGGTGGTTACTATTCGATGACCACAACAACCATTAGGTGTGGGCTGTTGAGCTCTGACTGTTTGTTTCTAAGCATCCCAGATGTTCTAGATGATCCAGAGGTATAAAGAAAAATCATCTTTCTTGATGAAGATCCCAGTGTTTGGGGCAGGCTGGGAGTTGGGAAGGGAGTGTGTGGAAAGGAAGGAAGGGGGAAAGAAGGGAGGGAAGCAAGGCCCGAAAGAGATGCTATAGAGAAGACAAGGGGCTTGGTCCCTCTGAACTAGAGTTGTGAGAAATTTTTCTTCTCTGAAGCTTCCATCTGGCTATTGCTGTGGTCTATTGTGCTAGGTGCCTAAGTCCTACTTTAAACCCCACTTCTCCCTATTATGGTAGGTGCCTAGGAGGCAAAAATAAACAGGAGGGTGGGGGTAGAGGAGGCTAGTACCCCAAGAAGGCTCTTACTCCTCCCATATACACGTTTGATATGGTCACCTCCAGAGAGCGGTTGAAAGCACTTTTATTCTAGGCTTGATATAGCATCTTTGCTGTTCTCTTTATTTCTGGTGTCCAAACCCTCTACAAAAAGCTTTCATTCCAGACAGCTTTTAGATGCTTTTCTCAATTAGGATTTCCTCTAAGAATTGTAACTGAGTACAAGAAGATCCAAGATTCATAGAGTTACAGGAGATAAGGAGGTAGGTAACCTTCTAGAGATTTCTCTAAGCATAAGAAGTTTGCTTTTTAAAATACAAGGTATGGAGAATGATGGGCCCCTAAGAGGATCTTTTTTCTGAGAGCACTGACTGCAGAGACAGCTACAATGGCTCCATAGACTGCTGAAATCTCCCTTCAGGGGCTCTGGTTATTTTTTGGTTATGGTTAAAACTACTTCCATTTACCCAGACATGAAGTTGTTGCTTAAAATAATAATGATGAAACAGACATAAGCATTCACCCTTTAATACATTCCCTAGCTCAGAGACATTGTAATATTATAAATATTATAAAAGACTGTTTTAATTAGAGATGGCAGTTTTGGGTGCTAAAGATATCAACAGTAACCCTTATCTTTAGAGGCAGTGACAGAGTTCTTGCAGACAAGTGAGCTTGGAGCTAGAGAGGTGGCAGAATTCCCAGCACCTACAAGCTGGCACACACCACTTCTAACTCCAGTTCCAGGGCATATGGTGTCCTTTTCTGGCATCCATACGTGACACATGCACACGGTGTACCTATATATATAAAGGTAAGAACATTCATACACATAAAAATAAATAAATCTTTTAAAAAAGAAGTAGGATTAGAAGCATCTTGTTCTCTGTGTATGAAACATCTGGCATTCAACTTTTTGTTTTATACATGAGGCTTGATTACTTACCTGTCTTATTCTCCTATAGTTGTTCTAGCAGAGTGTTTGGCACACGAAAAGATGCCTAGACTTCTTTGTGGAACAAGAATTCTTTGTGTGTGTGTGTGTGTGTGTGTGTTGTACGTACATGTTTTGGTGGGTGTATGTACATGTGTGTGGGAGTGTGCGTGCACTTGTGTGTGCATATGTGAGAAGCCCAGAGGTTGACATTGGGTGCCTTCTCCAAACCTTGTCCACCTCATTTGTTAAGGCAAGGTCTCTTTCTGAACCTGGAATTTATTAGTTTGGCTAGATTGACTGGCCAATGAGCACCAGGGATCAACCCATCTCTGCCTCCATCCACCAGACCTGGGGTTACAGACATTGCTGCAACACTTGTCTTTCACAAGTGTGCTGGAGATCCAAGCTCAGGATCTTATACTTGTGGGACAGATACTTTACCAACTGAACCATCTCCTAATGCTGGAATTTGTTTCTCTTCCTTCCTTCCTTCCTTCCTTCCTTCCTTCCTCCCTGCCTTTATTTCTTTGCTCTCTCACTTTCTTTTTTGTTTTTACCTTTTTTTTCAAGATAGGGTTTCTCTGTATAGTTCTGGCTGTCCTGGAACTCACTCTGTAGATCAGACTAGTCTAGAACTCAGAGATCCTCCTGCCTCTGCCTCCCGAGTGCTGGAATTAAAGGTCTGCACCACCATACCTGTCTAGAACTTGGTTTCTTTATAACCATTCTTGTAAGACTCTACGAAACATATACACAGAACATTACAGAAGTCCCCCACAGACCATCCTCGGGCCCAGAGGAAAACTGAGCATTGTATATTTCAAGCAGAGGCTAAGGGTGTAGCTTATGTTTTTCTCAAGCAAGGTCCTGGGTTTGATCCCTAGTACCAGTAGGAGATAAAAATCAGTATCAATAGGTTTGCTATTCATTTTCACACTTGAAAAGATGATGAGGACCTTTATGGAGCATTTGTGCATAAGTTTCTTAGGGACTGTTAGAATTCAGCTTGATAGTAGGGAGATTACCATTCTGCACATTAGTGGTTCTGTAGCTCTCCGTGGGGATGAAGCCATCATTACTCTTGCCAAAAACCTGTGGGACTGAAAAGAAAACCAGCTAGCGGCTCAGCCTCAGTGTGGCTGCAAATGGCAGCAGCAGCAAATGAGCCACTGGGGATGCCAGGGAGCTGTGACCACAGGAGGAAGCACTGAGCTCTCTGCCTCATGGAGGACTGTTTATATTTTTGTTGTCTTTGCTTACCTACTTGTGGATCTCCTCTGCTCTCATGATAGTCATTGCATATTAAAATTGGGTCACAAGGAAAATACCGCTTACCCAACTGCAGCCATTTGCTCACATTTCCTTCCTCCTTCATTTTTTCCTGACTTCAGAGCTAAATCTTTGGTTTTGAAGCTCCTTTTATTAATAAATTTATTGTGAAGAATTTGTATATACACACATGTGTGCAGGCACACACACAGACACACATCCCTCAGTTAAATCTTAATCTTATATTAGCCCTTCACACAGCCTTATTGGATTGAACTGGAACAGTATTAATTTTTAAATTATAGCAATAATAAAAAGGCATGCTAAATATTTTAGTTCATATTCTCCAAAAACTTCATGTAAGGACTCTACCTTTTTACCCAGTCAGCCGTGCATCTCCACTGTAGAGCAGTAAACCTGACCCCTGTGTCTGACAGAGTGAGGAAGGACACCGTGGAGGTATGTGGGCTCTGAACCTTTATACTCAGTCTGACATTCCGACAATAAGGGCGCTGGGGAGAAGGCTCACACAAATACTCACAATATAGCAGAAATACGGTCATTCCAGCAACTTTGATCACTACTATAATAAACCCCGAGATGATCATGTTCCAGTTCATGATGATGGGAATTCTGTGAGGAGGACCAGAGCAACATCATCAGTATCTGGGGATGAAACTGCTTTCTCCCTGTCTTAGCTTTGTGTCTTGTTCAGAGTACCCAAGGGAGGGCTTTAAGACAGGCATTCTGGTGGCAGGTGAAAGGAGGAGCCCCGGACATGTCCAGAGCAATGATAGAAAGCATGACATGCTATTTCTCCTTCATGTATACTTTAGCCTTAGGTCTAAACTGTGTCTTCATTTGTGGCTTCAAAAACCCTGTCCAATATGCAAGTCTCCTGGAATTCAACAACATATAGTCTTAAAAATGACCCTTGCTTATAAGCTTACAGTTTGGCAATGCTAATCTCATTTATAGAAGCCTTAAGTGAAGTGTCAGGGGTACGTGACAGATGAACAGGCAGGCAGGAAGGCAGACAGACAGACAGACTTACCTGATCTCTCTGTGGAAGTCTGGCGTGACATACAGATCAAAGTCTGGCCTTTGTGATCAGCTAATCCTTGTGCGGTGAGCAGGGTTCCTTGTCTCCTGCTCAGGCAATGGGTACCATCCTTGTTCACAACCTCACTGTGCCAGCTGCATTTTCAAGCAAACACCTCTTTCTGTTCAGTGCTCTTGGCAAAGGAACAGGCAGGGCAAAGAGGGGAAGGGAAGCTCTAGCTCTGCAGGAGGAAGGTTCCTATCAGGGCAACCTTTCTAGACGGATGTGAGAAACCACATGCCTCAGCACAGACTCCCCCCTTCATCTGTTGACTTTCTAATTGCTCTTAGGACAAGGCGTGACTGCTTAATGTAGTATACAAATCTTGCATATTCCTTCCCTCATGTATTCTAGGTGCTCAACCATGTGCTAGGTATTCTCTTAGTGCCTGGGATGTGTGTGGTGGTTCTGTATCTCTTACTAGCACTAAATCTGCCCTAGTCTTATCTGCCACCGATACTACTGAAGTGAAATTTTTTAATGAATTTTCTCATCCATAGTCACATGACACACCTTTATTGACCACATAACCACACAGCACTAATAGTATCACCTGTTCTAGCTCAGATACACAGTAGACTTTTCTATGTTCTTATTGACTAGATAATTCTAATGCATCCTTTAGACATCATTTCCTTTAGGAAAACTCTTTTCCCAATCCTCCACTCATTTGTCCCATTTGTGTTTAGGTATTCCTTATCTAGTACCATGTTACTGGGTGTTCCTTGGGAGCAATTCTTGCATGATTATGTGTGCACTGTTATTCTCATACTCTGAAGCGATGAAGTGATGTGGGATTCCCCCGTATGCTGTGAATATGTTTTATTACCATTGGTTAATAAAGAAACTGCTTTGGGCTTATGGCAAGGCAGAATATAGCCAGGCAAGAAATCTGAACAGAGATATATAGAGAGATCAGGTGGAGTCTAGGAGACACCATGTAGCTGCTGAAGGATTCAGATGCCCCCGGAACTTTACCAGTAAACCATGAGCCTCGTGGTAAAATGTAGAATAGGATTGGGTTATTTTAAGATGTAAGAGTTAGTTAGTAAGAAGTGTACATTATTGGCCAAGCAGTGTCATAATTAATAGAATTTCTGTGTTATCCGGTCTGGGCAGCTGGGAACGAACAAGCAGCCTCTGCCTATGAAGCTCTTTATCTTTTCACTACTGTAGTCCTGGAACAAACATAGCACTTGGAGCACTGTCTTTGAAAGATGTCATCTGGTTTGTAGTTCAAACCTTTATTTGTAGACCTATCATTACATGTACAAAATAAATATTTCTGATCAATTAATTTTTGTTACTCAAACAGCTAGCATGTACTGCAGATTGCAGTGACAGGACTTTGGAAGATAACTAGTCATCCTCTTGTTTGTAAACAAAGCTATCTTATAAGGTAACATATTACTAGTGGTTTGTTGTTTTAACATAAATTGCCACTTAGTTTGTATAGCAACTCAGAGTTCATAGAAAAACCCAGTTTTTAATAAGTAGTAGTGCTCTGTAATAGAACTCTATGATATAATGATATACTCAACTGATGTGCTAGGAAATGGAGGTAAGGAGAAGCTGTGGGGCCTGGACAGGGTGGTTCAAAGCCTGTGCAAAATTCCCTGATTCTGAAGCCTACCAGGAACAGAGCTACCAAGGAAACACACTTGTCTCCCACTTCCTCTAGTGACTCATCCACTAACTGGAAGTTCTGTTGTAGAGGAAAGTCATGGCAGTTGGATGCTGAAGACACACCCTTATTAATATCAAGACGTGTCCTTTCCAGACTGATGTAGCGTGACACTCAGAAGACAGACTTCCTTACACACATATCTTTAACAAAAACCAGAATTAGTCACTAAAAACCAACCTCCATCTTTCTTCCTTGAGTCTTGAAGGATCTAACCTTCTGGTGTCTGTCAGTAGCTATCACAGGTATGAATGTGGGTAAAGCTTTCTTATATCTTTAACAAAAAGGGGGCTGGGTGTGGTGGTCACACCTTTAAGCCCCAGCACTCAGGAGGCAGAGGCAGGCAGATCTCTGGGCTTGAGGCTAGCGTGGTCTATAGAGTGAGTTCCAGAACAGCTAGGGATACATAGAGAAACCCTGTCTTAGAATACTCCCTCCATCCAAAAGAACTTAAGAAAAAGAAAAAAAAATATGAATATATGAACATAACTCAAAACAAATTATTTAAATAAATTAGGCATTTGAAAAGCAGATCTAGTTCTCATCTATGAGTCCAAAGCTTTACGCAATAGGAAATATTAGACCAAATCTATGCTTTTTAAAAAGATGTTGGAGAACATTTACTCTGTAAAGGACAATGCCTTTAAATAGACAAGAGCCACTTGGAGGTTTAATTGGTGATTAAAAACAAAACAAAACAACACAGTAGGATGAAGGATCCTGAATAGTATATTAGATACCATAGGAAAAGTGAGAAAATCAGAAGAGATCACTGAGAGAAATTCAGAAGTCCGAGTAAAAGAAAAAAGATAGAGAAGAAATATAGAGATGTCAGTGTTGAATCAAATGAAAATACAACTAGAGATACCATTATGAATTAAATGAAAGAATAACTTCTCTCTATAAAATGTAATGGTCAAATCCAAACTAACTTATAAAAGAGAACTAGAATTTCCATTGCAAATAAATTAATGTTATTGTGAAAAATCTCTCTGTCTCTGTCTCTCTCCCCTCCCCTCTCTCAGATGGCTTGTTCCCCAAAGGATGTTTATGGAATGCAGAAAAATTATATCATTTCAATAAAGACAAAATGTGAAAAATCTGTCCTAGCTCTATACACAATTACTGAAGATATTTAATATGGCTGAGACCTTAGCAGGCAAAAATTAGCTATAAAGATATAAGTAATGTAAATAACAATCATGGGTCATTAGAGTTATTAATTTGAGTATTTATAAAACCTTTTATACTATGCATTAGCCAATGATGTATAAAATATGTAAACATGACTTATCTTCATGGACTACAAAAAGTCTTGCTGTTTTACTGTGGAAAGTTCAAATTGGTAAGCATGATTAGATAGATATTCTCTGTGGAACATCTTAAAGTCATGCTTAGCAGTGAACTAAAACCACTGTGGCCCCCTTTCCCAATGACAAAGAATTGAAATCTGTTTATTGCACCATTTTTCAGGAAATACATTGTGCTAACATGTTCATGAATGTGGTAACTTAGGCTGGGTGCTACTCAGGCTTGAATGTCTGGAGTCATAAAATTCCTAGGGCTTTGCAGGATGAATTGTCTTTACGGCACAATATTTTTTACCAACATTAGAATGAACAGGAAATGTGTGTGTGTGTGTGTGTGTGTGCAAATGTGTGTACAAGAGATTTAAGACAGATCATATTCATTGACTCTAAAATTCACTCAGTCACTCAGGGTATCTCCTATCAAATGGAAAGAAGGCATTGCATGTGTTATAATTAGGATATGGAATATTTCCCCCAGTGGCATATGTATGGCTCGGTCCCCGATGAAAGCAATACACAGAAAAAGGGATTCTGAGAAGTGAGTGGACCATGAGGGCTCTGTGTTCATCAATGACTTAATCCATCAAAGGTTTTAAATTTTGAGTAGACAATTCGTAGGTTGTGGGACAATGGAAGGTGGCCTTAGTTGAGAGAAGAACATCAATGGGAGGGAGGATGTCTTTGAAGGTTATTCCTTGGCCTGCTTTGACCCTCCCTTTCCTGTCTTTTTATTTTTTATGTTCTGGCCATCATAAGATGAGCAGCTCTGTTCTCTTGTACCCCTTTAACCTGATGCTTTTTCTTATCATGGTCTCCAAACAATGGAGCCATCTAACCATGGACTGCATCCTCTGAAAACAGGAAATAACAAAAAAAAAAAACAAAAACAAAACAGGAACCAAAACAAATCCTTCCTCCTTTAAGTTGTTTACATCATATATTTTATCACAGCAATTAAATTGCAACAGGGTCACCTAGAACCACCTCTCCTAAACTTTGTATTTTAAAACTCATGGGTGCTTAAGGTCCTTATGCAAAAGATATTATTTTTGCAAATATACTTTAATAATCTTTAGATTTTTAGAAATATAAATTTTAAAATGATTTTTGCTTGTCAGTTGAGCTCACAAATGCAAAACTCATTTATACAGATGGCTGACTCTTCATGATATATTAATTTTTATTCCTTAGCGATATGTAATATAATGAGGGATCATTTCATTGATGCCATCTTAGATTCTGTGAAATATAATAATAAAGAATACCATGTAGGCTGGAGAGATGGCTTAGTGATTAAAAGTACTGACCCCTCTTCCAGCAGACCCTGCTTCAATTTCTAGCATCCACATAGCAGCTCACAGCTGTCTGTAATTCCAGTTCTAGGGGATCTGACACCCCCACATAGACACACAGGAAGGTGAGACACCAATGCAACAAAATAAATAAATAAAAAAGAATACTATAAATTAAAATCATCACAATTTTAACATGTTATATCTATATAAATATTACTGACACAAGATTGTCAGAAGATTGACACAAGAAACAGAAGAAGACCTGAAATAACCTTAAAATTTATCCTAAGACTTTTGAAAAAGTTTTTAGGCATAAGTTGCAAGAATATGATTTTCATAAGTAGCAATTTTTTATGTGAAGCTTAAGTGTAAAATCCAATAAGAATTTTTAAAAATCATGTACATATTTATGAGTGATTGTCATACTTCCAGCTGTTAATTTCATTCCAGCCTGGAGTGATTTGGGAAAAGTGTTGGCATACAAAAGAGTTCCACAATAGCCCAGAATGGAGTATAGCAAAGGTTTATTTGTTTGGGTATAAACTCATAGAAGGGTAGCATTCCACAATCTTCTACATGCTCTGGGAACTGAAACCAAATCCAGCAGCCAAAAAATCTGTGCATGCTTTTCATCTGTATATATAGCACTGAGACCACGCCCAAAGTGGGCTGGTATCTTAAAGGCTACTGCTTGAGGGAGTTCCCACAGTATCTCCCCCTTTTGTCTAAATAAGAGAGTTCTAAGCCTAATATAAAACTATATA